AGAGTATAACAGGGAGGTCCCCAGGAAAATGGGAGGTTCCAGATTTCTGCCCTACCCAAGGAAGGATGGAGCTGAGCAGGGAAGAGAAGAAGCTTAGAACAAGACTGGACAAGGAAGGAATAAGGATGGAAAGCAAGGAGGAGATCTGGAGGAGGCACATGGAGCAGAGAGACATGTGAAGAAGATGCACTTGCTTCTTAGTCCTGGACTGGTTGGAACAGATGTGGGTGAGAGACCTATGGGGAGGTTAACAATGACAGTTTTTATCTTGATTTTGATTTTGCTCTTTTCCTCCCAGACTTGTCTGGCTCTTTCTGACCCTTTTCTAATGGTCCCCACCAGGAGTTGCTAGAGACTTGTGGCAAGCTTTACAGCCAGTGGTCCTGCTTTGGGCCAACCCTGTTTGGTTGGGCATTTACCCATGAGAGGATGGGTAACTTTGGGTATTTGATTTGGAAACTTTATTCTCCCCTTTTCTGTAATGCACACTAATTGTATTAAAGCTCTGGTGCACTAGAGTATGCTTTGTTTTGATGCGGTGTATGGAAGAAACTATTTAGGGCAGGCAGGTTGGGGATTCTGGGATGCCCCACTCCCTGCCCTGTAACAAGAGGATTAGGAACCATGATACTCTGCCTGCTAGGATGCTGTCTCTGCTTGATGTGTTTGCCTGGGCTGGCCTTGACTTTGAAAGTTGGTGGTAGAAGGAAGCTCTTTCCCAGAGGCACTTGCATTCATTTCTATCTCCTTGGTCTGAGTGCAAAGGAAGCATTAAGCGATATATGTATATATAATTTATTTAATTTATTTTTTATTTATTTACATTTTATATATTTTATATCATTTTTCATTTTTTCACAATGTATGCATTTTCATCTTGGTTATAGTCCCCATATAATTCCCACCCCCTCTTGTTTAAAAATCAAAATCAACAAACCAGAGACACCCTACAAGGGGGGAGGAGGGAGTAGGATCTAAACTATATATATATTAAGGTGAAATTGCTTCCCTTTTCACAGTTCTGAAACGTGGCACAATAGCTCAGAGCATGGAATCAGGGCTGGGAGCCAGTGTTCATAGGGCCCTGCCCCTGAGTAGGTGTGTGGACTTACTAAGCAATCTGTCTGCCTGTTTCTCATCTGTTAATATAGGGCTGGAGAGGAAATTTTTCCCTGCCTCTTTTGTGTTCTTTTCAGGCTGGTTGAACAATCAAATTAACATCCAATAGGTAGGAGAAAAGAGCAAATGTAATGACATTCATATGGAGAGTTACATGTGTGTAGATTCTAAAGGCAGTGGGGACAAAATGAGGCTGTCTATTTTGAGCTAAGGAATGGGATAGGGGCCTGGGCCTTCAGGGAGGGGGGAGGGGGACTTATATGACCAAGACCAGATTCTCTGTAATAGGATGTTTGTCCTGCTATATAGATAGGGTTCTCTGATAGAAACCTTCTCTGGCAAAAATCCCAATTTGGGGTAATATCTCTAATTTTCATTCTTCTACCTAGTTAAGGGAAAATCTCATGAGCTTCCTGGATTTTAATTGACTTCAACTTAAAATAATTCACAAGCCAAAATGACATTTTTGAAGGCCTGTTCTGAACATCTTGCTGAAGGCCTATCCCTCACTAAATATGAATAATACCTCATAGAGATGTTATAAGGATTAGTGTAAGTGAAATGCTCAATACTTCATACATTGTAAATTCTTCATATTTTTTTGACATTATTATTTCTGCCACCAAAGATTAATGTAATTCTGAGGGTAACAAAGTTAGAGAGCCCTGCTTTGGAAGAAGGACCTTTGAATTGAATCCCACAAAGTTGTATCCTAGGGCCTGGCACACAGCAGGTGCTTAATAAATATTAGTTATTTTTGAATTGTATAGTGTGGAACAGCAGGGGAAGGGAGGATGGGTCCCCAGCCCTTCAGGCAATGGTCTGACTTCAGGAAAATAGGGGAGGTGATAGGTGAGGGTATCTGGAATTGGGAATTGGGATCCTGGCATTGCTGGGGTCCTTGAGCACGAGACTTAGGGATGGACCAAATATGGGAGGAGAAGCAAGGGAGAGGGAAGAGTGCAATGATTCTTCCTGAGGCCAACTTTGTTCCTAAAGTCGGATGGTGGGAATCTGGGTTTGGGTGTTTATGAGATTAATAATAAAAAGCTGTTCAGCTTTTTATTTTGGATAAGATGAGAGTCGGGGATCAATATTTCTCATCATCAGACATCTTATCTGTAAAGTGGAAGTGATAATCTCAAAATAGTTCTTCCTTTTCTAAGTCATGTAGTTGTTGTTTTTTTTTAAAAAAGATTTATTTATTTATGCATTCAAGAGCTGGGATGTAGGCCAGAGATGTGGGGCGTGAGAGGATTCACCAGAGACAGAGCAGGGAACAGAACAGGCAGATTGACTGAAATACACCTGCTGAGGGGAGCAGCAGGAGAGACAGGAGAGGTCTCCTGCGCCATATGGGTTGCTCCTTGGCTGGCCGGGGATCGAACTTGTGCTGCAGAGGTTGCGGATTGCTTCATAGTGCGGTGCTTAACCCCTTGGGCCACCAGGGAGGCCCCTAAGTCATGCATTTGTTAGTGACAACCAAGTGAGGCTGTGAAAATGCTTAATCAACCATAAATTACGGTGGAAATATTATGACAAGTGTAATTTTCTATCTCATTGAAAGCTTGATTCTCTAGCTTGCCCTCAGTTTTCCCACCTCAGGGATCTTTGCATTTTCAGAGAACATCTAGAAAAAAGGCTTGATTAAGTCCAAAGGATGCATGGTGAATACTGAGACACCAGGAAGTCACCCTGCACAAGACAGCCTTCTAATCTGAACACTGAACTGTGAAAGCTGCGAGGGAGGAGGCAGGTGAAGAGAGTGTGATACACGGAGTGACTATAAATGCTTTGAATTTTCATTACTTCTTTGACTTTGTTGTGGAACAAGAATCTGCCAACCCCATATATGTCTTTTTGGCAAAAGGTTGATTTCACAGGAGAGGCTCTGAAGCCCGGGTGGAGGTGGCACTTGAAAAAAGACATTTACATGTAAAAACTTCTCTCTGGAGGGGCATCCCTCCTTCATTTTCTAAAGAACACCTAATCTCATCTCTTTTCGGTGGAGAAGACAAAACATAAATCTGCATACCTTCATTTGTGTGCCTTTCTTGGCAAACTCCTACTGACCCTTTCTCCCCCAAATCTCCCTTGTCTCAGCTGAGCTATTTAAGAACTTTGGATCACATGGGGGAGTTACTTCCTTATAGATACTGGGTCTTTCCGTGTAGACAGAGGAATACACATTATTATGAACTTTTTTTTCTTTTTTTCCTTTTTTTCTCTTATCACTCTTTCAGAAGCTTGTTTGATTATTTGCCTGCCTCCATGAACCCAAAGGGGCAGAGGATAATTCCTTTCGTATTCCAACCAACTTCCATAGTTCTTTTCCTTCCTATCCCCCTAACCTTTCTAAGTCGTGGTGTCACAGAGAGTCTGGATGGAAGGGCTCTCTGTTGAGGCTAAGTAGGAACCAAATAAGACATCAAGGGAAAAAAATAATAACAAGACAAAACACAACAAGACAAAACAAAAACAAGCAATTATAAACCAGAGACATCCTGCAGGGGAGGAGGAGGGAGAGGGATCAGAGGGAGGGACTGAGGAGCACAGGGGACTGAGGTGATGGTGCACGGGGTGCATTGGGGAAGGAATTCTATGGGGACTACACCTGAAGGGGAGGTAGGGAAGCAAACATTGTTTAAAAAAGAACAATGATGTAAAGTATATTTACAAATAAATAATTTTTAAAAATTAAATTTGACTAAAAAAAAAATGTCAGAGCTGCCGTCAGCCTGGGGGTGTGAAGCAACATGGGCCAGCCCAGGTCTGGGTCTGACCGAAGAGTGAGGGTGGTGGTCTAGACAAGGAGACATGGGTTATGTGATTTCTTTCCTTGTGCCCTTTCTCTCCTCTATGAACTGGAGAATGCCAGGGAGATGATGGACCACCCTGAAGAAACAGACTTTCAGAGAAATGTCTAACATTTACCCATAGAGACCATTGTCCAAATGTGATTGGCAGGCCTCGGGAGACCGAGTCCTGCATCTGATCAGCATGCAGTCCAGCAGTCCAGCATGCAGTCTATGCAGTCCATGCATCTGAAGCATGCAGTCCCATTGGTGCTGGAGTGATGTTGGTAATCCCATGTTCCCCCTGTGTAGAGAGCAGGTGCTCACAGATAGCTGTTAGCCTCCTGGTCAATGGTAAGGAAGGGGCTTAGTGGCTTGGTGGAGGCATGATAAATGGAGGGAGACAGGAATTCTCCCTCAGGAAAAGCCATATGATATAAAGGAGCATAGTGACAGTGACTGGGAACACAGTAGTTAATTGACTGCTGGCAGGTACCCATAGACATCTTGTGACATGCTTCTGAACATTTCTTTTGGTTCACTCTAACTTTGGCTCATTATAAAATACCGGAAACACCAAAGACAACTTTGAAAGGTAATCAGGTTGGCAAGCAACAGAGCTTTTTAAAAGCAAGAAATTTAAGGCTAACTTGATTGCTCTTTGGGTAAAATAATAGTGATTGTGCGAGAAGGGGAGAAGCCAATGGTCAGAGAATGTCGGAGATGGGTGTAATGGCATTCCTATCACTTCTAAAATGATTTGAGCTAAGTTTAATGAAACACTGTCATGGCAAATCAACTGCTTTTGACTGCCTACCTGAAAGTGTGATTAATAACTGTATGATCAAGTTGAATGGTGTAGTGAAACATCCCAGGTTATGTTTTGTTTTATAGGTGGTGTTTTAAATGTTCATTTTGTTAATTTCTAAACACACCCTCCCCTACTCCCACCACATTTTAGTGTTCGTAAAGGTTAGAAAATACCTTGAAATACTTAATTAGAGCATACAACAATGTTAAGTTTGAGCTGGGTGGGATTCCTTTTCAATGGTAATATCCTGAAATAGCTTACAGGGTTGCAAAAGGACAATCAGGACATCAGTGTGACAGTTTATTTTGTAGAGTATTTGTAGGTCTGTTAATGACATTGGCCTTCTTGGGCTGGTTTCTCAATCATCTTGGTTAAGTTACTCCTTGGAGGGAGTTGTCTGAACATCTTTTCTGAGATGCTTTGGCTCAGTGATTCTGAACCAATTATTTTTTGGAGTGTCATGCACATAAATTTTTTGAGAAGTTCATGAAAGACACACATACTTTTCTGAGAAAAGGGCTGCATGTAATTTCAGAAAGTTTAAGATATGGGCAAGTTAAAAACCTTGACTTACTTCATCTTGAGAACTGAAGTTGTTAGTCATGTTCTTCTTCTTCTATGTCCTGCATCCTTTCATTTCCCTTCCAAAACAGCAGCTGTGCAGTGTGAGGAGTCAGGACACAGGTGAGAGGAGTATGACCTTCCAGTGTGAGGCACAGCTCCAGCAACAGCTTCTAGAACACTGTGCCAATGAGAGGGAAAACCTACATTTTATCTAAACCCAGTTAAATCTCAAATTCATTTAACCAATGGGGGCTAGCTGAGCACTGCGTGCACACACACACACACACACACACACACACACACACACACACACACGGTTATGTTGTTGCAGGACAGGGTGAAGTGTATCCCAGGACCCATAGGCCTGCACACTCTATAAATGGGTTCTGCCATTTGGCACATCAAGACAAGATATGTTTGGGCCTCCCTGGTGGCGCAGTGGTTGAGCGCTGGGTTGCGAAGCTGCCCGCGGCCTCTGCGGCGCCAGTTCGATCCCCGGCTGCTCCCCGGCTGCTCCCCGGCTGCTCCCCGGCTGCTCCCCAGCTGCTCCCCGGCTGCTCCCCGGCCACCGGAGGAGGGTCCCACATGGCGCGCAGACCTCTCCTGCCGCCCGCTGCTCCCCTCAGCAGTGTACTTCGGTCCTTCTGCCTGCTCTGCTCCCCGTTCTGACTCTGGTGAATTCTCTCACCCTCCCAAGCTTCTGACTGTACCCAGTGTGTGTATAAACAAAACAAACAAACAAACAAAAAATAAATAAAACACGCCTCTATAAAAAAAAAATTAAAAAAAATAAAAAAAATTTAAAAAAGACAAGATATGTTCTAGTGCATTGGACCTTCAATAGAAAATAACTTTAATGCGATTATTGTGCAATAAAGAGAAGAAAAAGAATATAGTTAAGATAGTTTCCAATTAAACATTCAAAATTACCCATCCTTTTGTGGGTAAATGTCCAGCCAAACAGGGTTGACCCACAGAGGGACCACCGAGGCCCAGAAGCTTGCCACAAGTCTAAGGCACCTTCTAGTGGGGACCCATAGGAAAGGGGCAGAAGGAGCCAGGCAAGTCTGGAAGGGAAAAAGCAACATCAAAATCCATGTCACGATAAAGGCTGCTATTGTCAGCCTCCCCATGGGTCTCTCATCCACATCTCTGTCTCTTCCAAGTGTCTCCTTCCATGCTCCCCATGTTCCTAATCCAAGGCTGGGAAGCAAGCGCAGCTTCTTCACATGTCTCTCCGCTCCTTCTGCCTCCTCCAGTCATCTTGATCCCCTTCCCCTTCTCCATGCTCATCTCCACCCTGCCTTGGGTGGGGCAGGGAACCTGGAACCTCCCCTTTCTCTGGGGATTACTCTGTTAACAATGTGTTGCTTAATATCAGGGACACTTTCTGAGAAATATGCTGTTTGGTGATTTTGTTGTCGGAATGTCATAAAGTATAATTACTACCTAATGCCCCGAAAATACATGTTATATCTATTGGGACCACTGTTTTATATCAGCCCATCATGGATAGGAGCATGGTTAGGCGACTAATGATTGCAGTGGGCCTTGTGACAGGTCTGAAAGTAAACCGTGACTAAGATGTGGTCCCAGCTCTGGAGGGGCTCAAATCCAGTGGTGGAGATTGACTTACAAGCAAATAATAAAAATACCAGCTCTTGGCCCCTTTACAAGATAGATGACATCTTGAATCCAAACCAGCCACCTCTGGTTCATTACATTTTTTGTAAAAAAAAAAAAAATAATAATAATGAAAAAAGTTCACTGGAAGAACAACTCAAAATCCACATCTTATCAATTGGAATGTCTTCACACAGATTTCTTTATAAGTTTCCAAGACAAGGAATAGTTCTTTTGATTAAGTTCCTAAAAATGGACTTGTTAGATCAAGAGGATTAAATTTTTAATAGAGAGACCCAAAATACCTTCTAGAAAAGGTCACATCAAGAAAACTATCCTATGCATGATGATACCTGTTGAGGGAGGGGTTTTGTAAGAAATGTTGCTATTTCCTTACACCGCCTCTTGTAAGTAAGTTCTTATTTCCTTGCCTTAGAAAAGCCTCATTTCCTGTCTTCTCTGGGAGAACCCTGATTATAAAGGTGGCCTCACCCTCTGATGGAATCTCACTTAACTTTGCCCTCAGGTCTGACCCCAAAAGCTCATCTTCTGGCCTCTCTCTCATAGCTGCTCTGGCCTGGGTCTCGGAGCTGCTGATTCGCTTTGTTCTGCTGCTGTTCTTCAGCAGCATTTCAGGGCCTCTGGGAGTAACATCAGGGGGTGCTTCCACCCCCTGCAGCAAAGAGCACTCCTCTCTTTTCCCTGACACTCAGGGAGAGTAGATTTGGCTGAGCATGAATCAGAATCTGGGTTGTGGATGAAAAGATGGGTAGGAAGGGAGGAGGGGGACAGGACATTTTTCTCTTAGCTGTGAGAGCAAGCTTTCCAATTTAATTTCGGTTATTCGAGTCTGGTTTCTTAGAATGTCATTCCTTGTTGAGGCTGCTCTGAAAGCAGGAATTTTGTGGTCTGGTATGAGATGGCAGGGCTCAGAGCCACCACTCACCTACTGCTTTTGGACTAGCATATGCAGCGCCACCTCAAGTACAGGTCAGTCACCAGTGGAACCTTTGCACACATTTCATTTTATTTAAAGTTTATTTATTTATGTATACAAGATCTGGGGTACAGGCCAGAGGTGCGGGGGGTGAGAGGTTTCCCTAGAGACAGAGTGGGGAACAGAGCAGACAGACTGACTGAAATACACTGCTGAGGGGAGCAGTGGACAAGACAGGAGAGGTCTGCTGAGCCATGTGGGTAGCTCCCTGGCAGGCCCGGGATCAAAGTGGTGCAGTGGCTGTGGATAGGTTCATAGTGCTGTGCTTTAAAAAAAAGGGATGCCTGGTAGCTTTCCTCCAGATGGATTCAATTCTGAACCAGAGTGTTGTTCTGTAAGAAGGGGCAGTTTGCACTTCAACTTCCTGCCAGCTGTGGCCAACAGCCTTCCTGCAGCAACTTGTCCACAGGGCAGTCTGAGGGTGGTTTCCAGGCCTTGCTGTTGCTGTAAGTGTTATAGAACAGGGAGAGGGGCATAAGGACACTGAGTTTGGGATCAGCCTCCTCAAATGTCCAGACCACATCTTCCAGGATGTGTCTCCTTAACATGTAGATTATTTCTAGTTGAGGTCAATCTAGGCCCCGTAGGTTTTTTGGGAGTGGGTGTGGTATGGTAACATACATCTGAGGAGGTGTGATCCTATTTCCTTAAGTCATGTATAGTATACCAATGTTATTTATACTAAAAAAACAGTATGAAAGAAAAAAAGAGAAAGTTTTATCATTACCTTAACTACTTAGAAGAATGAAGTTTGGGAACATTATCCAGATTCAGGGCTAACCCCAGAAATAACCTCTTAGTGGGGAAACCTATCTACATGGCAGAGAGTTTCAGAGCATCCGGCATTGTCATATGAACCCCCCTCCTCTCTCCTTGAAGCCCCAGGTCCCTATTGTATTTCTTAGATCAGAGTAAGGCTGTTGGGGGCCTCCCTGGTGGTGTAAGGGGTTAAGACACAACCTATGAAACTATGAAGCTATTTGCAGTCATTGTAGCGTGAGTTCGATCCTTGGCCAGGGAACTACCCACATGGTGCAGCAGACCTCTCCTGACTTTCCCAGTGCTCCCCTCAGCAGTGTGTTTCAATCTTCCTGTTCTGCTCCCCACTCTGCCTCTGGTGAATCCTCTCACCCCCCACACCTCTAGCCTGTACCCCATTTCTTGTATGCATAAATAAATAAATCTTTTTAAAAAAAGAAGTGTTAAAAAAAAGAATAAGGCCATTGGTTTGTCCTGTTTACTGGAGAATTTATAGTTGTGTAGATTCTCCATGCTTATGGCATTTAATCTATTCTTTTCTTGTACTAATCTGCATGATATTAATTTGATTGCTTCACTAGTTTGAGAAGAACCCAGAGGGGTGGGGAAATTTCTTCTCTTCCCTGCATGACCTAATGTTGATGGCTCGCGGTGTGCTCTGGGAGACACAGAGGTGGACCAACAGATGAACAGAGGCTTAGCCCGCACAACTCACTTTCCTTCCAACTTCCCAGTTCTTGTCTACTTCCACCTTCCTGCCTCTTGTCCAGTGATCTCTCCTTTAATATGGAGACAAAAACGGCCCTGTTGAGGAATTTTGCTAGAGCATGTCTGTACTAAGTAGATCAAGTTTTGTGTTTAGTTTTGCTTGTTAGCTTTTCATTCTGGACACAGTTCTTGTCCCCTATAATCTAAGAGCCCTAGATCAAGTCATCATCTCATTGGTTTAACTGTAGTGGCAGTAGTAAGGTTGTATTAGTTAATGCTAGCTGCTGTAACAGAGAAAATCTGAAATCCCAATTACCTAATACAAGAGGATTTTATTTCTGACTCATAAAGCAGTTCAATGACTGTGTAATTCAGGGACCCAGGAACCCAAGGACCCAAACTCTTTCTACCCCCCTGCTCTGCCATTTTCACCTAAGGCAGGAGGAGGGGAAGAAAGGAGATGGCATCACTTGACAAGTAAGTGACCCATATCATTACTGCTCACACTCTATTGTAGGAACACTTCACATGTGGCCTAAGGAGCAGAATTTCTGGGAAATATATCCTTAGCTGTGGTAGAAGCTCCTCAAAGATAACTTTCTACCACAGAAGGGGAACTAGGAATACAAAACTTTGGGGAGCAGTGATCCATGTCTGCTGCAGGGGCTGAGCTGAGGACAGCATCGAGGACCTCGAGCTTCTGTTTCCCTGCTCAGAACTTTGCCTTTGCTCTATTTTGTGGAGAGAATCTTTATGCTTTATTTAGCAACAGTCCCTGCTCAGAGATGATGTTAATGGAGGCATGTTAACCCGAACATGACAAGGCTAAAATAAAATAATTACATTTCTTTGGGGTCTTAGATCAGTAAACGAGTGAGCACAAACTCAGCTATCCACCCAAAGTGATTCGTCCCAGGGTCTTTTGTTTAAGGGGGCTTTAAAGGGAAACAGGACAGGGGTGGAGGGAGCATAGAACTGCCAAAACTAGGATTGGTTATAGATTATAACCCTTCATTGGCTTTAGTCAAAACAGCCTTGATTACGAGGGAAAGAAGAAAAATAAAAAAATATCTTGGCACCGTTCTGGGAGAAGGTTTGTCTTGCTGAACATCAGTTCTTGTCAGTCAGAAATAAGGTTATTGTTATTATTATTATTATTATTATTATTATTATTATTTTAAGTTCAGGAAGATGAACACAAGATGAGTGGCTTCAGTAGGCTTGTTAATCCTTTTCACAGGCTTCAGTTGGGAGTGGGTGGAGAGGAAGGAAGGGGTTTTAACCTTTGGTAACACCTGCCTCTCTTCCTGCCCTGCAAGAGGATAAAGACCTCTCCACACTCCCTCCCTACCATGCATTTCCTCTCTCCCCAATCTCAAAGCTAATGCACAGCTGAATTTGCCTGGAAACCTCCATGACCCTCCTCCTCCACTCAAGTCAGGGTGTTCGTTGTTGTTGTTATTATTATTATTATTTTTAATGATTTTGATGGAAGGGTTTGTAGGGAAAGAAAGAACTTTTAATAAAGGCAGCTTCCTTTCTTCCTGGGTTCGGAGAGGTGGGTAGGGGTGGGAGTATAGCTTTCAGAATTCTAGAGGCGCTCAGGGAATTAATAAAATCTGACAAAGGCCAGCGAGGCGCTGATCCGGAGGCGAGGGCGGCGCTTTCCTGCGGAGGTGTCCTCCACGTGACGTCAGAAGCGGCTCCCGTTGCCCCGGCAACGTCACCCGATCCGTCTGCCTTGGGCACACATGCTGGTCTCTCTGGGCGCTCTTCTTTAATGGCGAGGAGCTAAAAATGAACCTCACTATCCCCAAAAGGCAACTTAATCATAGGGAGGTTCTATCCAATACTCATGCATTCTGTAGGCGGAGACAGCTCAAGAGAGTGGATAAGGCTAGAATAATAGGAAGGACTCGTGGCGGGCCAAGAAATCTTCCATTACACGCAAAACCTTCCTGTACTAGGAAAGGAAATTGCTGATCTGCCCTCTAACAGTGCCCTTCAATGCCACCTGTTTCATATGAAAAGTGCCATTGAATCATACCTAGGAGTGCTGCTCTGGTCTGGAGGGTTCCAGAAAGACTGCAGAGATGGCACCATTAAGTTCCAGCAAGGCAGAGAAGGGTAAAAGCCCCTACTCCAAGTCTAAAACTTTTCAGCTACCCACCTTCAACCAATGTGTTCTTTTTCTTTTCATTCTTTCTCTTAAAAAAAAAAAAAAAAAGTACCATTACTTTTCATCCTTGCTAGTGATGTAAAAAGACAGTGACAACAGGACAGGTCTCTCTACCTGCCTCACCAGATAAGCATCCCTATCTCTTGCATTTAACAAGTTTGTTTGTTTAACAAATTTATCTTCCTGTATTCTGCCAATCTCCCTAGATCTCTGATGCCCTCATTGAAAGGACATGCCAAACCTTCCCCATCTCCAGCCCCACATTTTTAGCTCCTTTGTATAAATACCACTGCCCTCTGCCAAATAGCAGGATGGTGGTCTTTCACACTGCTGCCCTCCTCAGTGTGCCAATAAATTAAACTACTGTCCTTTTCCTCAGACTCTGTTTCCTTTTGTTGGCTGAGGGAAGCTGAGGCTGCTGTTTCGGTATTACTAGTGTTTTGACAGTATAGGATTTCCCCCCTCAGATGTAGACACTTTAGCTCTCCCACCCCTGAAGCACAATCCTTAACTGTGGTCCATTGTGCTCTCTCTCTACTTTTCTCATCCCTCCTCCCAAGCCCCTCGGGATGTCTCAGGTCTATGGTCATCTTTTAAGGACTGGTTTTAATGCTTGTCTTTGTTCCTTTGTTTTGTTTCTCTATATTCCACATGTGAATGACATCATCCAACATTATCTTCCTCCTTCTGACTTGTTTCATTTAGCACAATCCCCTGCAGTTCCATCCATGTTGTTGCAAATGGCAAAATTCCATCTTTTTTCTTTATGTATATATATAAAATTGTAGCCCATTATGTATATATACCATGTCTTCTTGATCTACTCATCTGTTCTTGGTCTCTTAGGCTGGCCATGGTAAACAGTGCTGCAATTAGCATAGAGCTGCAGGTTTCCTTTCAAATTAGTGGTTTTGTGTTCTTCGGGTAGATTCCTGGGAGAAGAATTGCTGGATCATATGGCAGATTCATTTTTAGTCTTTTTTTTAAAGACTTATTTATTTATGCATATAAGAGCTGGGGTGTAGGCCAGAGATGTGGGGAGGTGAGAGGATTCACCAGAGACAGAGTAGGGAACAGAACAGGTGGACTGACTGAAATACACTGCTGAGGGGAGCAGCGGGTGAGTCAGGAGAGGTCTGCTGTGCCATGTGGGTCACCACCCTGGCCAGAGATCCAACTTGTGCTGCAGAGGCTGCAGATAGCTACATAGTGCTGCAACTTAACCCCTTGAGCCACCAGGGAGGCCCTCATTTTTAGTCTTCTGAGAAACCTCTACTCGCTTTCCATAGGGGCTGGACCAGTCTATATTCCCACCAACAGTGTAACACCAGAACTTGTTCTTTCTTTATGAATGACTGAGAGGCTTAAATACTCCAGTTTGGCTCAAAGTACTAGTGAATGAAGGTGAGGCAGAATTTCATGGTGGCCAAACACCCTCACATTTGTGTCACATTGACTCAGTGGCTCTGTTATTTCTGGACTGTGTGATCTTGGGCCAATTAATTAATCTTAGTGAACTTCAGTATCTTTGTTTGTAAAATGAAAACGATTATCTGCTTTGTAGTATTTTAAGGGATAGACAATACAAGGCATGCAAAGTGCTTAGCTCCATGTCTGGCACTCAAGGAAAGGGTGCCTATTCTCCTACTTTGAATAGTTCTTTTTTTTTTTTTTTTAAAGATTTATTTATTTATTTATACAAGCACTGGGTACTCCAGAAGCGCTGGAGGGTGAGAGAATTCACCAGAGCCAGAACAGGGAACAGAACAGGCAGATGGACCAAAATACACTGCTGAGGGGAGCAGCAGACATGGCAGGAGAGGTCTGTCACGCCATGTGGGACCCTCACCAGCGGCCAGGGATCAAACCAGTGCTGCAGAGGCTGCAGGCAGCTTTGCAGCCCAGCACTCAACCTCTGTGCCACTAGGGGAGGCCCACTTTGAATAGTTTTTAAAACATTCCAAACATTCCTACTCCAGGGCTAACACTAGCCCATATTAAGGCTCTGCACAAATGAGAAAAAGTGTCTCTTTTGGCCGACAGACTGCAACAAGGTACCTCTTCCTCCAGGCCCTGCAGTCCTGTGCTGGTTATGGCTGGTCCGGGGGCGCCACCTTCACATTAGCAGGCAGCACCTTCTCTTTCTTTTCTCAGCAATTTTCCTGGGAGAGAGATTGCAGAGTTAAGTCTCATAAAAACATCACAGATTCAAAGTACATAAGCAGTGGAGGGCATTGACGTTTTGGACTAGCTTTATTTATTTTTTTTAAGATTGATTTATTTATGCATACAAGAACTGGGATACAGGCCAGAGGTGCGGGTGGGGGTGGGGGTGGGGGGAGGTTAGAGGATTCACCAGAGAGAATGGGGAACAGAGCAGGCAGATTGACTGAAATACACTGCTGAGGGGAGCAGCGGGGAAGGCAGGAAAGGTCTGCTGCGCCATGTGGGTCACCTCACTGACTGTGGATTAAATTCATGCTGCAGTGGCTGTGGATAGCTTCACAGTGCTGAGTCTTAACCCCTTGCGCCACCAGGAAGACACCCTGTGTTGGACATTTTATTTGAGCAATTATAGAAACTCTAGATGCTGTTAACTTCTCCGGAAAGAGAATTTATTTTTGCTCTGGCAGGCTTTTTGTACTCGGGGCATATTGCCTTAATCCTGTTTGAGATTGAGATGATTCAGAGCTGTGTTTCAGTTTTGTGAGGACTATTTATTTCTTATTCAGCTTTACTTCTTGGTGGTTGTTGCCTGGCTATTGTCATTAGTTGAGTAGGTGACCTGGTGTCGGTCCCTTCTAAACCTAGAGGTGTCAGCAAAGGTTGCCTTTTGGGGCATTGCTCACCTGGGTCTTTTAATACATATGTCTAGTGAGCATTTCAGATGAGATGATAACCAGGTTCTCTTTCACCTCTTGCCATTTCTAGTTGTAGAGTTACCTCTGTGAAGAGGAGAATAACGGGCTGGTTGCTTTCATAAGAGTCCATGAGTGGGATCCTGTCTACAAGGTGCTTTTGTATCATTATCACATAGGTGAAATAAGATCGATTTTTGCAAAAAATTATTAAAGAACTGGGGCCTCCCTGGTGGTGCAAAGGGTTAAGACACAACACTGTGAAGCTATCCACAGCTACTGCAGCACGAGTTTGATCCCCGGCCAGGGAGGTGACCCACATGGTGCAGCAGACATCTCCTGCCTCACCGCTGTTCCTCTCAGCAGTATAGTTCAGTTCATCTGCCTGTTCTGCTCCCCACTCTCTCTCTGATGAATCCTCTCAACCTCTGTATCTCTGGCCTGCAACCCACCTCTTGTATGCATAAATAAATAAATCTTTAGAAAAAAAAAAAAGAACTGAATAACCTATTATTGAATGAGAAGACAATCCAGAGAGGTGGAGAGCAGAGATTTCAATTTGGATCTGAAATGACACAGTCGAATGTGATGAGCTCTTGTCTCTAGAAAAATCACCACCTTATTAAGCCTCAATCCCTTCTTGTCAGCATGGTTTGGTTAATTAATCCATGATTAATCAGAAAAGTTAATTGAATTCTTAGAACTTAACGAACTAACATGGTGATGGATTTAGGATCCCAATGGAGAAGCAAGCTATCTGACTTTGGTTATTTGCACAAGCTGTGATTTAGTCCTGACAATTGAGGGGTTTTTTTTGTAAGCAGTGTGACAGTTAAGTGGAAGACTCTTGTGTCCAGATTAAATAGGGTGGAATTAGTGGTATTTTACAGGCTCTGCAATTCAATTCATTTTCTGGGAAGGTAGTCAAGAAAAAAGCAATAAAAGCCCTTGGTTATATAAGTATTAGACCAAAGCTGGAATTCGCTGAGAGTTCTTACTTTTATTCATCTTTGCCTCCCCAGGGTCTTAAACTATATGGAACCTGGCATATAGTCAATAACTATAAAAAAACCAAGATGAATGAATAAATAAATGATTCCTCCATCTCTCTCTATAATACGTTTGGTTACACACTTTGTACCATTTCATGTGGTAGGTTCTAGGGACCAGAGGTAAAAACAAGTCACAGTCTGTCCATCAAGGTGGCTGCCCCCCAACAAGCAATGACAACAATTTGATGTGGTAAAAGGTTAGTAAGAAGAGTGGGAGAGTTGTGGAACCCCAGAGGGAGGAACAGACAGCATTTCACAGATAAAGTGATTTTTGAGCTGGGTCTTCCAGTATGAATAACAGTTATCCCATGCAGGAGGTTGGGGAAACCCGTTTCACAGAGCTGTGTGGTGTGTGTGACAATGGAGGTGTGAAAGCGGAAGGAGTCTGAATGGTGTGTAGCTTTGTGTAGCCTGAGAATGTGGGAAGGAGCAAGGGATGAGAAGGGAGGGTTTAAATAAGGTTGGGGGAAGTTTAGAATTGTTACAGGGCAGCCCAGATACAAAACGGGGTGCCTGACTGTGGGTCCTCACCCGCGCTTAAAAGGACTTATCAATGCTGTACTGCAGGCACACACGAAAGGTTAATAAAAGGTTTATTCACAAGGGAAGGGCAAATGACGAAATGTACAACTCAGGGAGAAAAGTGGGAGACAAAGTTTTAAATGCGTCCTACCCAATCTGCCGATCTGGAATCCCAAATGGCGCTCTGAGAGCTGGCCGCGAGCCAGGAGCCGTGAAGCCAGGGGGCGAGTGAGAGAGCGACCCCCCCAAGCCCAATGTTTAGTTTTTATACCCAACCTGGCTACTTAACTCCACCCTCAGGTCCCAGCCACCCTCCCTTTGGTGGTGATGGGATTTGTCTTTCCCAATGTCTTGATGGCTTTGGTCTGGAGTGGGGGTGGAGTCCACAAAGCCTGCATGGAATTAGCTCAGGACATCCTTTCCTCCTAACAGAATGACAGTTTAGGGAGCATTGAATCTTTTTTTAAAGACTTATTTATTTACGCATATAAGAACTGGGGTGTAAGTCAGAGGTGTGGGGGGTAAGAAGATTCACCAGAGAGAGTGGGGAGCAGAACAGGCAGATCTACTGAAGTACACTGCTGAGGGGAGCAGCGGGCAAGACAGGAGAGGTCTGCTGTGCCATGTGGGTAGCTCCCTGGCCAGGGATCGAACTCATGCTACCGTGGCTGGCCATAGCTTGATAGTGCTATCTTTAACCATTGTGCCACCAGGGAGGCCTGGAGCATTGAATTTTTTGGGCCAAATGTGGTGTCTTTGAAGGATTTTTCAGTTTGTGATTATCAGATTCACATTTTAGGAAGAGATTCTTGTGAGTAGATGGTATTTGAGTTAGAAAAAAGACACTCAGGACAGAGACCTGGGTTAGTGGTAAGATCCCAATGGCTCTGGGAAAAGGTAGCCAACTGAGGACAGGAGGACAGAGTCCTGAAGTGTTTATAGTACCTGGCTTATGCTTAAGCACTTTGTAAAGATTCAGTGTTTAATATTTGCCTGAGGAGAGATGATAGGTGACAGAAGCCCTGGCTAAGGCAGCAGCAATAGGGACAGAGAGAAAATGAAAGACAGGAGGGGCTGGAGTGCTGACTCACGCTGGTTGTCCTGGAGCTGCAGGCTGTTTTCTGCTGACTCTGGCTGCTGCAGAATCTGCTCGCTGGCCTCATTATAATCTCAAATGGGACCCAAGGGTGCTTGACCTTGGGCCTTGTTGCACCTTTAGGCAGAGCCACAAAACTAAGAGTTAGTTGCCAACAGGAGAGGCCCATCTCCGGGTGAAGGCAGATGTACCCGCAGTTTCTGTCCCTGCGGCCTTCACAGTCTGCTTTTGCACTGGGGGTCCAGGGTAGGCTTCGGGTCCTGCACAACAGGGCAGCACAGAGCAGCAGATGCTCTGCATCGGGAAGGAGGTGCAAATGTGCAGAGGAGCTTCTGTACCCAAGTGAGTACTGCTCATGGGGAGAGATTTGAGGGTGCCAGGAAGGACCTGGCCTGCAATTTTTTTCATGACTTGAAATCCCACCAGTGGGAACCAGATTCTTTGTATTTAAAGGCTTTACATATATATATATATATATATATATATATATATATATATATATATTTAAAAGATTTATTTATTTATTTATACAAACACTGGGTGCTGTCAGAAGCGCGGGAGGGTAAGAGAATTCACCAGAGCCAGAGCAGGGAGCAGAGCAGGCAGAAGGACCGAAGTACACTGCTGAGGGGAGCAGCGGGCGGCAGGAGAGGTCTGCGCGCCATGTGGGACCCTCGCCTGGAGGCCGGCCAGGGATCGAACCAGCACTGCAGAGGCTGCAGGCAGCTTCGCAACCCAGTGCTCAACCGCTGTGCCACCAGGGGAGGCCCAAGGCTCTTTATGTTCTATTGAGTGCAATACCCCAGGGAAAGGTAGCATCTTTAAGGGAAGGGATAACAACCCTAACAGAAATAATAATAACTGTTAGTGGGCATAGTGAGTGACTCCTTAGGTCCCCCAAAGCTGCGTGCTCTGAATGGGTTCTGCCCTTTGTCACATAGAGACAAACACTTAATGCATAGACATTTAATAGAAAAATAACTTTAGGGCTTCCCTGGTGGCACAAGAGGTTGAGTCATAGCCCTGTGAAGCTATCTACAGCCACTGCAGCATGAGTTCCATCCGTGGCCAGGAAGATACCCACATGGTATAGATCTCTCCTGTCTCACTGGCTGCTCCCCTCTGCAGTGTATTTCAGTAGATCTGCCTGCTCTGCTCCCCACTGTGCTCTGGTGAAACCTTTCACCCCCCACCTCTGGCCTGCACCCCAGTTCTTGTATGTATAAATAAAATCTTATAAAAAAAAAAGAAAAATAACTTTAATAGAATTAGTGTGCAATAGGAAGGTGGAAAGAAAAGAAAAATACAGTTTCCAAGTGAAATACCCAAAGTTACCCCACTAGGTAATGCCCAGCCAAACAAGATTGGCCCAAAGCAGGGCCACCGAGGCCCAAAAGCCTGCCACAAGTCTAAGGCATCTTCTGGTGGGGACTCATAAGAAATGTACAAAAGGGGCCAGGCAAGTCTGGAAGTAAAAAAAGCAAAAGTCAAAATCCAAGTCAAGATAAAGACTGCCACTGTCAGCCTCCCCAGGGGTCTCTCACCCACATCTCTGCCTCAAGTATTCCATGTCCACCAGTCCCTGGAACTTGTCCAAGGCCAAGCAAAAAGTGTGGCTTCATCTTCACATGTCTGTGCTCCATGTGCCCCTTCCAGGTCTTCCCTCAATTCTTCTTCCTCAGTATTCTCCTCAGCTTCTCCTCACCGCTCTGCTTCACCATTCCTTGGGTGGGGCAAGGAATCTGGAACCTCCCCTTTTTCTGGGGATTACACTATTACATAACAATTACCAATATTTACAGAGAACTGTTTATGCTGGCACTAGTAGGTACCTTTTATTCAATGCCAAATTTAATTGTTCTGACAGTTTTTTTTTTTAAAGATTTATTTATTCATGCATACAAGAGCTGGGGTACAGGCCAGAGGTGTGGGGTGTGAGAGGATTCACCAGAGACAGAGTGGAGAACAGAACAGGCAGACTCACCGAAGTACACTGCTAAGGGGAGCAGAGGGCGAGCCAGGAGAGGTCTGCTACGCCAAAAGGGTTGCTCCCAGGCCGTGGATCGAACTCATGATGTTTGCAGTGACTGCAGATAGCTTCAGAGGTTGCGTCTTAACCCCTGGCGTCACCAGGGAGGACCTCTGACAGTTCTTTAAGATGAATTTCATTCCATTTGGGTACATGGAAACCCAGAGAAGTTAAGAAGCCTGATTAAAAACATACAGCATACCTCTTTGAGAACACCGTAACAGAGAGAGCAAGAAAAGAGTAAGAGTGAGAATAAGAATGTGAAAGAGGAGAATTCTGGGTACGGATTTGGTGGGTATCCCTGGAGAACAGAAAGGGTGGAGGAGGGGCCTTCCTGGTGGCACCGGGGTTAAAGACACCGCTATCAAGCTGTTGCCAGCCACTGCAGCTTGAGTTCGAATCCAAACTGGCCAGGGAGCAACCCACATGGCGCAATAGACCTCTGCTGTCTTGCCTGCTGCTGCCCTCAACAGTGTATTTCAGTAGATCTGTCTTTTCTACTCCCCACTCTCTCTGGTGAATCCCCTCACGGCCCTTCCCTCCCCCACCCACTTCCCACATCTCTGGCTTACATACCAGTTCCTGTATGCATAAATAAATAAAAGGTTTATATATAAAATAAAAGGATGGAGGAGAGGTTAAGTTTTGGCCAGGGCTGGCCCCGTTTCCATCATTCTCATCGACTTCATAGATTAGTTTCTCCCCCTTGTTTCAGTCAGCTCTTCTTCCCAGCGGTGACGGGACTTCTAGGACAGGTGGGGTTAGAGTTAAGGGCTTCACACAGGACTACTTAAGAGATTTAATTTATCCGAGTTTATCCAGCCATGGTCTAGAGAGCAAAGTAGACTCCTTACAACCAGGACAATGGACTGTTTTTGCATCCTTTATGCAAGGCACAGAGTTTGGCACACAGTAGGTGCTCAACAGATGCTCACTTAAGGAATGTTCCCAAAGGAGTCTCCACTGGATCTTAGGTTTGCTTGCTTCAGAGCCCTGCTGTCTAGTCTGTTCTACCTGTTTCTGGTGATACAAGAATTGCAGGTTTGTCTGCTTATGAATTCAGGAAGGACCACAAAGGATGTAACACATTTGAGCTTCATTGTTTATTAATGATTGCTTAATCATCTGGTTCACTTAAAATTAAAAATTTTAAACTCCAAGTTTCTCACCAGAAAGGATAGAGAGGATATAGATGGACAAAGAATCTGATCTACAAGATTAGGGTGACACATGTCCTAGATATATGTCAGAATGGCTTGATGGTCTCCCATGGGGATGTCACCAATGAGCAGTCAGTTGTTACCAGTTTCGCCAGCCTCCATCTCTCTCTCTTTTCTCCCACATCTGTCATGATGCCTCCATTTTCACTGGGTGGCCTTGGATTAGACCTTCAATTAACCCCAGCCTTCTTGCCTGTGTTACTATAATCATTCTTCCTGCCATCAGTGTTTTTTGCCCTTCAATACATCTTCTTACTGATGATTGAGTCTTTTTCCTCAAATTCAATTTCCAAATTGATCATGTCAATATCCAGAGAAAACTCCCCTAGTGGATTTTTTTAGATGTACTCCTTGGTAAAATCTTTCCAGGTCTGACTTTTGCTTACCTTTCCAGGCTCATTACCTCACTTGGCCACAAACCTCTTCTCCTCTTAATAACACCAATGAGCTAAGAGCTCAGCTCCTAGTAATTTTTAAAAAAGATTTATTTATTTATGCATACAAGAGCTGGGATGTAACTTGGCCAGAGGTGTGGGGTTGGTTGGGGGTGTGAAAGGATTCACCAGAGACAGAGTGGGGAGCAGAACAGGCAGACTGACTGAAATACACTGCTGAGGGGAGCACTGGGCAAGACAGGAGAGGTCTGCTATGCCATGTGGGTATCTCCATGGCCAAGGATGGAACTCCAGTGGCTGTGGATAGCTTCACAGTGCTGAGACTTAGCCCCTTCTGCCACCAGGGAGGACCTCCTAGTAATTTTTTTGCATAATTTTGTCCTTACTCTTGCTGTCCTGAATTTGAGCTTCCCCAGATCATTTCCAGTTTACCATGTTTAATTTCTGATGTTTTTCAGAGATACGCAAATCAAAACCACAATGAGTCTCAACCTCACATCTGTAAGAATAACCTATATTGAAAAGCCCAGAAACAACAAATGTAGTAAAGATGTGGGGAAAAGGAACTTTGAAAGTACACTGTTGGTGCAAATGTAGACTAGTCCAGCATCTGAGGAAAACAGTATGGCAGCTTTTCAAAATATTAAAACAAGATCTGCCATATGATCTAGCAATTCCACTACTAGGTAACTTTTCTATTTTTTTTTAAACATTTATTTATTTATTTATTTATTTATACAAGTACAGGCCAGATGCGCGGGAGGGTGAAAGGATTCACTGGAGACAGAGTGGGGAACAGAACAGGCAGACTGACAGAATACACTGCTGAGGGGAGCAGTGGGTGAGACAGGAGAGATCTGCTACGCCATATGGCACCCTTGCTCACTGGCCGGCCGAGATCGAACTGGCACTGCAGAGGCTGTGGACAGCTTCACGGCGTAGCGCTCAACCACCTGTGCCACCAGGGGAGACCCTCCACTCCTAGGTAACTATACAAGAAATGAAAAAGCACTAATTTGAGAAGATATATGTACTTCTATGTTCATTGTACTACTATTTAGAATAGCAAGTTATGGAAACAACCTGTGCCCAGCAAAGATGAGTGGATTAAGAATATGTGGTATAGAGCCTCCCAGGTGGTGCAAAGGGTTAAAGCACAGCATTGTAAAGCTATCTACAGCTTCTGCAGCATGAGTTCGATCCCTGGCCGGCCTGGGAGCTACCCACATGGTGCAGCAGACCTCTCCTGTCTCACCTGCTGTTCCCCTCAGCAGTGTATTTCAGTCAATCTGCCTGTTCTGTTTCCCACTCTGTCTCTGGTGAATCTTCTCAACCCCCGCACCTCTAGCCTGTATCCCAGTTCTTGTATGTATAAATAAATAAATCTTTTAAAAAAAGAATATGTGGTATACATACACAATGGAATACTTAGTTTTTAAAAATGTTGAAATCTTGCCATTCACGACAACGTGGATGGAACTGTAGGGGATTATGTTAAGCAAAACAAATCAGAAGGAGAAAGACAAATACTGGATGACTTCATTCACATGTGGAATACAGAGACAAAACAAGGAACAGACAAAACAAAACCAAAACAAACCCCAGAATTCTGATTGCATAAAAGAGGTTAACAGAGAGGGAGGAGCTCAATGGAGTATGGTGGAAAATTATGGGTGCCTTGATGGTGTTGTGGTGTGATAGATAACACACATCTGAAGAGGTGTGAACTGGCACCTCTCATACTCTTCATTGAGGAATGAAGTCATCCTGTATGACTCAGACATGCATGTGGACTATGTCACAGAAGCCCCTGGTGGCAAGGCGCACCATTTTTGGTGGTGATCATTTGTATGCTTGTAGGTTGCTAGCCAGCCCTGCCATCTCACGAGCATTTGGATTAAAATAGATAATTCTATTTCTTCCATTCATTCACCCCAACCCAAACCGGCACCGTGTGCAAGATGAGCTGTAGGGTCTTTGGTGAACATGTCAGTATCTTGTCCATACAGCTAGAATTTAAAGTCTATTTTTACCCCGAAGGGATATAATAAAAATTATTATTCCCTTTGAAGGAGGATAAGGATGGGTGAGTAGACAGAGGCTGAGGGAATCAGGAGCTAGCAAAGAGTGAAGATATAATAATGAAAAATGCCTGGGACAATTTTACATATTGAGCTGTTACATTTGGACACTTTCTCAGATATTAAGATCTCCCTTGAAATCTTAGATGGCTTATCTGTTATCGCAGGCTTGGGGGTGCTGGTCCGCGGCATGGGGGAAGTTTCCTGAGGTTCCCCAGGTTAGCCTCTGCTTAGAATTAGTTGACAAGGGGCCTCCCTGGTGGCGCACGGGATTTAGACACAACTTATGAAACTATCCGCAGCAACTGCAGCACGAGTTCAATCTCCGGCCAGGGAGCTACACACAAGGTGCAGCAGACCTCTCCTGACTCGCTTGTTGCTCCCCTCAGCAGTGTATTTCAATCTGCCTGTTCTGTTCTCCGCTCTGTCTCTGGTGAACCCTCTCATCCCCACACCTCTGGCCTGTACCACAGTTCTTGTATGCATAAATAAATAAATCTTAAAAAAAATCAGTTGACAAGGTGGATTAATGCTTTTTCAGCTTGAGGCTTCTCAGGGGGGTAGTCAGTGTCCAGAGTCAAATTAGGACTTGGGGCCAATCAAGCTGGGTGCACCTTGGAGGGATGTTCCTTTCCAGAGCCCCTCTGGGCCGGGGTGGTAGCATCTGAACACCCACGTCAAGTCCCAGCTCTGATTAGTTGAATTATTTCAGGCAAGTCACTTAACCTTCATGGTCTCTCATTTTCTACGTGTGAAATGTGGGGATGATGATGCTTGATTAGACAGGGTGATTTGGAGACTCAAATGATTTAATTTCTATGAGGATGCTTGGAAAACAAGAGAGCAGAGTACAAGTACGAACTACTTCAGGTTAAAATTGACATCCTGGGCTTCTTGAAGAAGAAAGTGATCTTGGAAATGTCACTAAATGGCTATAATGACAGGTGGAAGTGTGTGGCAAGAGGGGGCAATAATGGTTGGTTGCTA